TTGTCTGGCATTTTGAGGGCTGAATGTGCCTACCAAGCTGATGAGAATATGGGTGATTTTAATGCCTGCCTCCCGTTCGAAAATTTGCAGAAGAAAAAAATTGATTTACATGAGGATTTTTTTTTTTTGATCTCAAATTTTTTGGCTTCTAAATGAAAGATTGACATTGATAAATAATTCACCCATAAAAAATACCATGCTTTTCAATAGCTGAAAAAGTGGGGATGAGTGTCAACTTCCAAAAGAAAAGAAAATAACCTTCCGCGTTTACTTTTTGTCTGGTAATCGAGAGAATGGAAGGTTTTGTTGTAAAAATATCGCTGAAAAATCGCCAGACGGTAATCGCAGTTCGAAGTCGAGTTTTCCGGCGTAACAGTCTGTGGACATTTCGAACAGGTGGCAGCCATTAAAACCACCTATATTCTGATCAGTTAACTAGCCACATTCATCCCTCAAAATGCCAGACAAAAAAAAATGACTCCACTAAACAGGCTCTATCTCAGGGTCTAATAGGATCAGCTTTTGTGAACAAATATTTATATTTACACAATAAAGCACATTTTGAATTTGAATTTGAATTTGATTTGTATCGGTCTAAGGTTATCGGCCAATGAAGGGCCGATATGCCGATACACCGATATACCTGAAAATGACCGATACGCCGATATACCGATATGCCATATCGGTATCGGTCGATCCCTGATTAAAACCACTTATATTCTCATCAGCTAACTATTCATCCCTCAAAATGCCAGACAAAAAAAAAATGACTGCACTAAACAGGCCTTATCTCAGGGTCTATAATTCGAAAACGAAAAGCTCGGGAGAAAAACTAGGATTCCGCCACGCATCATATCTTTTCAAAACATATCAAGTCGCTTGAAAAAAAATTGACAGCTATGACTGTCAAACCTAAGTTTGGTGGTCCTGGCTTGTAAGGTAAAGCGTGGGGAAAGGCAAACAACCCTATTTTATTTTATTCCGGTCGCATGAAAGATGTAAAAAAAAATTCGCCTGGTGATTTGGAAACACTTTAAAGAAATCTAAAGTGGGACGGATTCCTTTTTTTGAAATCACCAATTTTGACAGTTGTCAACGTCAAAAATATGACAAGCAGGTTCAATACCAAAAAAAGGATTCCACCACGCTTAATATTTTTTCGAAACATTTTAAGTCGTGTAAAAAAAAAATTTGACACCTATGACTGTCAAACCTAAAAATATGACAAGCGTTGACAGCTGTCGGAAATTTCCGGCGCCAATCGGTGGCCAACGCTGAATAATCGTTACGCACCGAGTTTGGTGGTCCTGGCTTGTAAGGTAAAGCGTGGGGAAAGGCAAACGACCTTATTGCATCCAATACCGGTCGCACGATAGCTGTTAAAAAAAATTCACCTGGTGATTTGGAAGCACTTTAAAGACATCGAAAGAGGGACGGAGTCCTTTTTTTGAAATGGCCAATTTTGACAGCTGTCAAAGTCCAAAAGTATGACATAGAGAGTCAATATCAAAAAAAGGACTTCACCACACTCATTATTTTTGAAAAATAAATCGATTTGGGGAAAAAAAAAATTTGACATCTGTCACAGTCGCGCGGCCGAGTAATAATTTTTTAAACCGGATGGCGACGAAATCGGTGCATCCGTATAGATTTCGGCCCTGCGAACACGTAAAAAATTAAAAAAAAATTCCATCTTTAATTTTGACAGCTGTCAACGTCAAAAAAGTGACAAGCAGGTAAGGTAGGATGACAGACGTCATCGGCAATTGAAAGCAATTTAAAAAATGACAAAACGTATATCTGGTCGTTTCTTGAAAATTTGACATGTGTCAAAAAAATTACGTTTCGTACTGTCACTCTGACAGTTTTTGACGTATATCGATGGGAATTTTTATTTAGGGTTTTCGGGGTCGGCGGAACGTTTTCCGCCACTTTTTTTTTTCGAAATTCGCAAAATTAAAAAAAACTTTTTTGACGTTGACAGCTGTCAAATTTTTTCGACACAAACCTATAGTTGGCGACCCAAAACCGCCTTCTACCGGGGTTTGGGTGTCGTAGCTTTTATAGTAGAGCGGGAAAAAAGTCGGACATGTGTCAAATTTGACAGGTGACATCTGTCGATAAGGCCAAAGTGTTTTGCGACGAAAGTTCTATCTGAACGCATCTTCGAAATTTGACGTATGTCAAAGATGACGTTTCTCCTTGTCACGCCGTTAGTTTTTGACGTAGGTATGTCAATGTCAATTTTTTTTAAGGGGTTTTTGGGTCCAAGGAAACTTTTCCGACACTCGGATTTTTATTTTTCCGAGAAATGCAAAAATAACTTTTTTGACGTTGACAGCTGTCATAATTTTTTGACACCGACAGGTCGGCCACGTTGAATAAACATAACCTACCGAGTTTGAGCTTTCCACTATGTAAGGTAAAGCGTGAGGAAAGGCTGTTTACCCAATATAAACAAATTCCGGTCGCATGTCATCAAAATTTCGCCTGGAGTTTGCGAAACGCCTTAAAGAAATCTCGTGCTTTGCGGAGCTCTTTTTTTGAAATTCCTTCCGCCTGTCAAAAATTTGACATTGACAGGTGGCTAAGTTGGCCATGAAATTTTTTTAGTGATTTTTCCGAATTCGCCTCGATGTTTTCTATCCGCCTATATAAGTTTTATCCGCCGTTTTCGAAGGAATCGATTACTCGATCGCACGGTTTATAGTTTTAACCTCTACCTTTTAGGTAGAGGTTACGGTTTACAAAAAAGGGGCCCACCATTCCGCAGTATTTATGTAAAGTAAAAAGTATTTATTGACTATATAACCCTACTCACCTTATTTGAATCCTCATCCATTGTAGTCGCTGTATATTTATTTTATTTCCACAGGTTCTAAAATAAAAAATGAATAATAAAAATAACCAAAAAGCAAAGCACAACCTGAACCGATCCAATACATACTCCAAACACAAACAGCAAATATTTAGCCGAGAATCGCTTTACCACAGACATACTCAACAACTCAACATTCAACAAGCAAACATAGCACTCAACTCAAACGACAAACAGCGACTTGATGGCGTTGATTTGCTTTCGGTTTAGTTCGTATCCCCGATGTTGTGCTGATCGTTAATAATGACGGCAAAGTTTTCGACTTTCCAATATATTATTTCTGCTATATTGCAGCAAGTTTACATTCGATATTAAATTATAACATTGCAAAATAATGCCAACACAACTTCAAGGCATCTTTGCGATGTAACCTTACCTACAAGTTATATTTCCAATTTTGCAGCAAGTTTACATTTGTTACTTATTATAACATTACAAAAATTATACCAGTTCAATTTAAATGCATATTTACAATGTTAATTTGCGTACAAGTTATAATTTCTAATATGCGTTAAAATTTCAAGGATATTTCATTTTGTAATTTATTGTTGTAATGTTGTGTCAAAAATAATTCAATATTACATTGGAATGTTGCGAAATTAAGATCATCAGAGTAATATTGCATTGAGCTTTTGTAACATTGCATGTTCAGTGTGTAGTACCCTATCAATTTCATGGCAAGACTTGAAGTCCGAGTTTGAAAAACATACGAAAATCTCAAGGCATTTTTATTTGTTGAGGGTAAATTTTCGTACTTCGACGGGGTTTGAGTCAATGGGATTTTGCATGGGGGTTGAAAATGATGTTGAAATAGTACTGTATTAATTTTATGGCAAGACTCGAAGTCCGAGTTACAAAAAAATATGAAAATCTAAATGTTTATACAATTTTACTTGTTAAGGGTAATTTTCCATATTTCGACGGGGTTTGAGGCGATGTGATTTTGCATGGGGCAGAATAATTCTCTATTAATTTCATGGCAAGACTCGAAGTCCGAGTTGGAAAAAAATAGGAAAATCTGAATGTTTATGCATTTTTACTTGTTAAGGGTAGTTTTTCATATTTCGACGGGGTTTGAGTCAATGTGATTTTGCATGGGGGTTGGAAATACTGTCAGAATACTACTCTATTAATTTCATGGCAAGACTCGAAGTCCGAGTTGGAAAAAAACACGAAAATCTGAATATTTATGCATTTTTACGTGTTAAGGGAAGTTTTTCATATTTCGACGGGGTTTGAGTCAATGGGATTTTCCATGGGGGCTGGAAATAGTGTCAGAATAGTATACTTTTAATTTTATGGTTTCATGGCAAGACTCGAAGTCCGAGTTGGAAAAACATACGAAAATCTGAATATTTATGCATTGTTTCTTGCTTAGGGTAGTTTTAATATTCCGACAGGCTTTGAGTCAATGGGATTTTGCATGGGGGTTGTAAATGGTGTTAGAATAGTATCTTATTAATTTCTTGGCAAGACTCGAAGTCCGAGTTGGAAAAAGATATGAAAATCCTAATATTTTTGCTTTTTTACTTGTTAAGGGTAGTTTTTCGTACTTCGACGGGGTTTGAGTCAATGGGATTTTGCATGGGGGCTGGAAATAGTATTAGAATAGTACCCTATCAATCTCATTGCAAGACTTGAAGTCCAAGTTGGGAAAAAAATACAAAAATCTCAATGTTTATCAATTTTTATTTGTTGAGGGTAGTTTTTCATATTTTGACGGGGTTCGAGTCAATGGGATTTTGCATAGGGGTTGGAAAAATTGTTGAAATAGTGCTTTATCAATTTTATGATTAGACTCGATCTCTAAGTATGATTTATTGAATTTATTTTGAATTTTAAAAAAATGCTACGGTAATGGTCGTTCGAGTGTTTCCGTCTAATTGGCTCCCAAGTTTTGGCTGCTAACTTCACACTGGTCAATAGTTATATTTATCTATTTAATAAGACCAAGTTAATATAAAAAAAATATATAATAACATTTCACACCTTTTGTAAATTTAAAACAATGCCATTCAAATATATTAAAACTTTCAAAGTATCTAACAGTGTTTGGAAGTTTGAAACGGATCTTACTTTTCAAATTAATAAATATAACAAATATTTTGTTTTTTTCCTGTAGGACCCTACTGATGCGAGAACATGCATTGGCCAAAAGAAGAAAAGCTGTTGAGGATCTACTACAATGGCACAAAAAATTATTGGACGAAGAAAAATCCATAGAAAATATGGAAAAGAAGATCGGTACGATAATTTCAAAAATACCTAACAACAAAACCTTATTGCCACCAGATTCCAATATACCTTCAGAAGTGCCCAGTACTGTGGAACAACCTGCTAGTTTAGAAAAAAATACTCAGTCAGAAGAATCAAACCAAGCCACTTATTACAGTACAGATTTTGAGGTAGATACTGCACCCCAGGATAGTCAAAATTCTGACGAGCAAAGTAGTATATCGTCTATTAGCCAATTGATAGGAGACCTTGGCAAAATCGAGGAGAATATAATGAATTTAATGCCTAAAGAATCAAGTAACAAGGAAATTAGTGAAACCGTTGAAGAATCAGTGATATTTGTTGATGAAATAAAAAGTGAAGAAGAAGAAACTGCACCGATTAGCGTGGAACCAATAGTTACTGAAAATATTATTAGTGAAGAATTTATTAAAGAATCAAGTAGTGAAGAACAAAATACTGTAGAAGAAGAGACTATTTCAAAAGAACCCACTTTCATTAATGAAGAAGCTATTGAAATTCTTGATGAAACCTTAGAAGAACACATTACTGATGCAATTAGTGAACAGTTGGAATCATCAAAATCCCCAGAACCTTTACTTCAAATAGAAACAATACCAATACCAAGTAATGAGGAAGATACTTCTAGTCCAAGGCAAAATGAGGAAATCCAAGATATTCCCGATCCAGAACCGTCAACATCTCATCCATCTAGCAGTACTCAAGAGGAAGATATTTCTGAAGAAAGTGCTGAAGAAGCTGAAGACGAGCATCAAAATAAAACCGATGAAGAAAAAGTCGCAGAAAGAGGAATTCAAAGTATTGAAGAAATACCTCAGGCAACTGAAGTGAGTCAAATACTTTCTCCTATAGCAAATAATTTAGAAATAGAGGAAATCGCAAATGATGATAGCAATATAGAAACTAGTCAAAATGAAGATGTTGCAAGTATAATAGAGGCTCCAAGTCACCAAGAAGTAAAATCCATTGTAGAAGAAGTTGTTAGCTTAGATACTTCCGGCTCATCTTATAGTTCAGATTCTGCTGTGGTCTCACCAATTAGTTCGGTGACAACCCCTCCAACAACTGCTTCAGGATCGCAAAAATCTCCTATTGATATTACCAAATCACCAACTGATTCTCCGAAGCATGTCGAAGAATTGCTGAATTTGCCAAAAAAAGATAAGAGCCCCAGGATGCAGGATTTGTGTTTGGGTACCGATACTACTTTTTCAAGAGAAGCTTCGTCAGATACAGGTAAGAAATTTACAATCTACAATTTGTTACATTAATCAATAAATAAACTTAGGTTCAACACTGAATGGAAAGGGACCATTTTTGTTGGGTAGTGAAGCTGAAGAGCTTCACAGAAAGCAACTGGCTATTGAACAAGAGGTAAGTACCTACATAAAAAAAAATCTTGATGATTAATTTACATTGTGTAGATCAAACTCCTCAAAGAACAGCAACAGAAAGAAGCAGCATCGCCGGTCTACGTCAGAGAAATACCAAATAAGCCTCCTCCGCCCTACACGCCACCATTCAAGACGAAGTCCCCAAAAAGTCCTTCTATTATACCAGCAACTAAAGATGAAATTGAACAAATCACCGAGTATTCGGCAAAAATTATCTATAAAGCGTATCTGTCGAATAATTTGGATAATATCAGTATTTCGGATAATACGCTGAATTTGATAGCTAAAAATATTGATAAAGGGTGAGTAGATATTTACTATACAATATCTGTTTCCTAAGTAAACTGGATTTAATTAAATTTTCAGATGCTATAAATACATCTTCGATCTCTGCAAAGAGGTAGCCAGAGACCATTACAGTCAATTTGCTGATGATACTGGACCGACATGGATGCAACTGGACAGAAGAATCACGTTGGCCCCGGCCAAACCGCTGGATGTCAACGGTTTGAAGAAGCTGATGACAAAAAGTTTACTGGAGCTATTCGGCTTCGAAAATCAGCATTACAAACAGGATAATGCTGTGATGAGATGGTCGAAGAAGAAACGGGATCATGTGGACCAGGTTTTAGTTCAGGTGAGATACCGATATCTTTGTCTTTTTTTACACATTTAATTATGGTAATTGAGATAATCTACTACAACCAACTGATTGTTACTTTTCCTTTTTACACAAGCTATATCTTCATGGTGAGATCATTCATAATATTGAAATACAACCCCTCAGGGGTCAGACGAAAAATCTGACACGGGAGTGGCAAACCCGAGGTACCCTAGCTGTCAGGGGCTGACCGCCGAGTCCCTGACTACATACCGTAATCACGGGGAGCCCTTCAACAACCCAAAGTAGGCGTATTTGTGGTAAGTTGGGTGTCCCATGTGACCGGGGGGCTTGCCTTAATCGGCTGGCCTACGTGAAGAAAAACACTCTAAAAATCCGACAGCGAAGTCGCAAAAACCTGTGGGGCACCAGGCGCACCCAACAGTATAAACGCCTTCCTGCAGTATCCAGGCTCTGCTGTAGGCGACTTACTTACCTTGGTTACTCGTGGGACCAGAATGTCAGGAACAAATACCCAAATACAGGGGCCGTCTCTCCCCCAAAGTGGAGACAACCAACAGGAGAAAGATCCTTTCAAGAGGAGTACCTCTAATTCGACAACCCCTACTAAGGGCGATAGGAATACTGAACCCACAAAGAACAATAATATCAGCCAGGAAAAGCTGCTTCATGCGCGGTTCTTGGTGATACAGAGAATGGATGATTTGAATTTTGATAAAGTTAGTCCGTTTGGCATTAATAAGGCCCTCAACGGTTTAGTTGGAGAACTAAAACAAATAAAGAAAACTAAACAAGGTTTACTTGTAGAGACCGTTTCATCAGCTCAATCTGGTAAGCTCCTAACCGTTAACAAGCTGTTAGATTTACCCGTGTCTGTCTTGCGTCATGAATTCTTAAATGTTTCTAAAGGTGTTGTTTATAGTCGTGACTTACTTTGCTGTCCGGAGCAAGAAATTCTGGATGAACTGAAATCGACAGGAGTTATTGATGTAAAAAGAATTAAAACAAAAATTAATGGAGAACTACAGGACACTGCCTCACATATTTTGACTTTTAATAATTCCAAACTCCCGAAGTATATAAAAGCAGGGTACTTAAATATACCAGTTAGGCAGTATGTACCACCTCCATTAAGATGTTACAAATGTCAAAAGTTCGATCATACTTCAGTGAAGTGTGATCAACCCCAGATATTTGTGTGCGGAAAACCACCCCATGATGGTAATGCCTGTGGTAGCGAATTTCTCTGTGTGAACTGTGGCGGCAAACACTCCGCACGATCACGCAACTGCCCAACTGATAAAACAGAAATAGCAATACAGGAATTAAAACTTAAAGAAAAGATTAATTATTTTGAAGCAAGAAAAAAAGTCGTAATAAATACTCCAAAGAACATCAGTTAAGGAGCATTTACATTCACTTCCAACTTCAAGTTGAATTTGACGTTTGATATTTTATCATTTACATTGCAGAACAAAAACGTCAAGTCAAAACGTCAGAATTAAATGAGAATCATGATAAATAACCTAAAAATTTGACATTTCACAAATTTGTGCTTGCCCTCGGCAAGCAGCTCGCCCAAATTTAAAGTGAACTTCAAATTTATTTCAATGTAAATGGATCTGTGCTGCCGCCATATGCCAAGCACATCAATTTCAAGACAAATTGGACTTTAAAGTGAATGTAAATGAACCATTATGCTGATGCAACAGCCGCCTTACCTGAAACAAAAGAAAACTTCAATATTAAAAACTTAATAAATGAATTAATACCTACATTAATAAAATAACTCAAATTAGTATTTGTCTCTAAAACTGGAATAATTCCGTCAGAACGTTGGCGAAGAGAATCGGCTGCTTCAATTGCCTCTGAGGTACCGTATGAAAAAAGAAAAAGACCACCTACAAATACTGGAGAATCGAGCGAAGGAGAAAGTTCTGCCTTTGAACCAGAATTCTCCGACAAAAAAATTAAGAAACCTAAGGGGTGGCCAAAGGGGAAACCCAGGAAACCACCTAACAATAATGACTAGTCAAAGTAAATTACTGAATCTGTGATAAATTAATAATTATACATTATCTGTTCTTGTACCTGTCTCATATTTACATGTTTTGTTTGCACCTCATCAATACCACAAATGTCCAAAAAAATCATTCAATGGAATTGTCGAGGATGTATACACAATTATTGTCACATCAAACTGATTTTACAAGAGCACGATCCGATATGTATGGCTATACAAGAAACTCACCTAAAACCAAATCAAGCATATTCATTGAAAAATTACTCCATGATAAGACGAGAGGCAGAAGGTGGTCAGAGGGCGCATGGAGGTGTCGCACTGTTCTTGAGACACGATGTCATCTTCACCGATATTCAAATACGTAGTGATCTACAGGTTGTAGCAGTCAAGGTGATTATTCCTTTAAAGATAACCATATGTAATGTCTACCTGCCTAATATAGCGTGGACAATTGAACAAATTGATCAAGTAATAGAACAACTATCCCCCCCCTATGTTGTGGTGGGAGACTTCAACGCCCACAATACACTTTGGGGCTCTTTGATAACAGACACAAAGGGGCGTGTTCTGGAGAGATTAGAGAGGTTAGAGAGAGATGATCTTGTTCTAGTAAATACGGGATCTGCAACGCATTTTAATGAAAAATCCAATAACTTTTCAGCAATCGACTTAACTTTGGCAACTAGTGATCTGCTGACGAAACTTGACTGGATTGTGGATGATGATTTGCACAACAGCGACCACTTTCCAATACACATTGAACTGGATACATCAACAACTATAAATACTCCACCTATTAAATGGAACACACACAAAGCTGACTGGAATAAGTTTAGAAACTCTGTTAAACTGCCATCAGATCTTGGCGTGAAAAATATAACAGACTGCATACTGGCCGCAGCAAATTTAAGTATACCGAAATCTGGAGGTAAACCTTTCAAAAAATCTGTACCTTGGTGGAATGAAGAAACAAAAAATATAACGAAACTCAAAAAACAGGCTTTTAACGAGTTTAGAAGAAGTCCTACTACTGAAAACCTAGTAAAATTTAAAAAAATTAGAGCAACCGCAAGAAGAACCATACTTAAAAACAAAAGAGATACCTGAAATCAGTACACCAAAACAATCACGCCAGATACGAAAATAAAAACTGTGTGGAAGAAGGTGAAAGCAGTATCGGGTATTTACACAAATAGCCCAATTACCTCTATACAAACAGAAACCGGACCCATAACCACCGACCCTGTAGAAATAGCAAACATAATAGCAACACACTTTGAAAGAGTCAGTAGCAGCAACAATTATGATCCAAGCTTTCTACACATAAAAAACAATGTAGAAATAAATATAGATTTTACCACAGAAAATGACCTAGAATATAATTTGCCATTCAGTAGGAAAGAGCTTGATGAGGTACTCCAGCAGTCTAAAGCAGGTGCTCCCGGTCCAGACACAATTTCCAATGATATGCTGAAAAATCTAACACCTGAAATGAAAGATATATTGTTAAAATTTTACAACAAACTATGGGATGAAAATACTTACCCGGAATCCTGGAAAGAGGCTCTGGTAGTACCAGTACCTATAACTAAACCTAATAAAGATAGACTGACACCATCCAGCTTAAAACCTATTAGTCTTACCTGCTGTATGGGCAAACTCTTTGAAAAGATGATAAACAACAGATTGCAGAATTATCTAGAAGTCAATAACTTATTAGTTCCCTACCAAGCAGGGTATAGAAAGAAGCGATCAACAGTAGATCATTTAGTATTACTAGAACATTCAATCCAAGAAGCATTTCGAAACAGGGAACACTTAGTGGCTACTTTCTTTGACATAAAAGGAGCCTTCGATATGACGTGGCGCTATGGAATTCTTGATAAACTGTCTAAGTTTGGACTAAAAGGAAGATTGCCGTTGATGATAAAATCGTTTCTTGAAAACAGAAATTTCAAAGTAAGAGTTGGCAAGGAATTATCATCAACTCGATCACTAGAGAATGGAGTCCCGCAAGGATCTACGCTTAGCTGCACACTGTTTGCGATTGCCATAAACGAAATTTGTAAAGATGTCAATCAGGAAATCAAGAAATGCATCTATGTTGATGATTTGGCAATCTTCTGTAGTGCAAAGAAGGTGGGAGACATTACACGCATATTACAACCGGCAATAAACACCATAATCAAGAATGGCGAAAGAGTTGGTTTCAAGTTCTCCAAAGAGAAAACTAAATGTGTGCATTTCTGCCGACTCAGAAAACCTCATTACGACCCAATGCTGTATTTAAATGATAATATTATTGAGTGTGTTAATAACTTTAAGTTCTTGGGATTAACGTTCGACAACAGACTTACCTGGTGCGAACACATTAATCGAGTCAACACAAAATGCCGGAAATCTCTTAATATTCTGAAAGTCCTAGCGCATACTAAATGGGGAGCTGATCCAAAAAGTCTTCTCATGATATATAAATCTCTAATGTTGTCCAAAATAGATTACGGAAGTATAGCTTACTCCTCAGCAAGAAAAAGTCATTTAGCAGTACTTGACAGAATTCAAAATATAGGACTACGCTATTGTGTAAATGCCTTTCCAACTACCCCTGTCCAAAATCTTTATTGTGAATCTGCTATAATGCCTCTAGAACAAAGAAGAAAAATCCTAATGACAACTTACCTAACAGGTGTCAAATCTTATCCCAAAAATCCGAACAATGAATTCTTATTTCCTGACGAAAACCAATATTCCAATAGAAACACCATCACTCGTCCTCTTGCAGTGCGCTATCTAGAGTACTTGGGGAAAATCGGTGTCGAACTCCCTGACATACTTCTTGATGATCGAAATGACGCCCAAGTAGCAAATAACGGTACCATGAAAAGAATGGACTTTATAAACAATCTAAAAGGCAAAATTAGAGATGAGTGGCAGGATATATGGAGCAGAACAGATACGTTATTTCGTAGAATAGAACCAACAATTAAACAGAAATATGAATCGACAAGTTCGAATAAACTCGAAACGGTAAAAGCATTTAGACTCCGTACAGGACATACAAATCTAACACACCAACATCTTCTTAAAGGAGAACAAGCACCAACATGTGATCAGTGTAATGTAACTCTCTCAATTAGTCATATCATTAGTGAATGTCCTGTTTTCAATGCTCAAAGGCAACTCTATGGTTTAGGGCCATGCACAGAAGATAACCTGAAAAAAGAAAACATGAGAAACTTACTCGACTACATCAAAGATATTAATCTATTTGATAAAATTTAGGAACAAATATAGATCTGTGATACTTACGATAATGTGATACTTACCATCTAGGATACTCGCCATCTGTGATACTAGATACTACCAATATTTATATACACAGTACTTGTTTTATGGGCTAATAACCTTGCTGTTGATGCTCTAGGGTGGTCTTTTTTAGTGCGGTAAAAATCCCACACTATTTGGCAGGGATCGACCGATACGTTTTTTTTTTTTTAAACCGATAGTAGCTTTGTTTTGGTTTCACTCAGAACTAGTTCGGAATCATCCTGCACATGCGCATATTACAAAACGCGTTTTGGTTTTTTCAGAATCGTAATCGAACTGTGTTGACAGTGTTTTGGTTTATCTAGAACTTTTTGAGAACAATTCTGGGATTGTTCTAGAACGGTTCTCTCAGTTCTTGCTCTGAAGGAGGAACTGTTTTAGAATTTTGTGTTTTGGTTTTTTTGGTTCCGAATTGGTTCAGAACTAGTATTAGAACAGTCCTCTATTATTTTTTGTGCGCAAGCAGTTCTGCGCAATTCCAGAACCGTTCCAAGTTTCGAACCAAAACAAAGCTATTGCCGATACCGATACGATATGGCTTCATAGACGGCCGATACCGATATAAGGCCGATATATTGCATCGGCAGAATGCTCGATGTTTTCCATTCTGACATTTTAAATCTTGCACCAGTTTGAATGTTATATTTGTTTTCTCGCACCTTTTCCTTTAGTTTGAATGTTTTATTTGTTTTCTCGCACCTTTTCCTTTGGTTTGAATGTTTTATTTATTTGTTTCCTCCTAGTGTTAATATTGTTTGTTCAACTTCAGATAAGCAGAAAGTTTAGTTTTTTTTTTAATAAATAAATAATTTTAAATTTGAGTTTAGATAAGCAGAATGTTCAGTTTTTTTTTAACATAAATACCTAATTAATTTAAAATAAATTTATGAAAAATAATTTCTAATATTTACTTTCTTTACTTTACAGAACCACAATTATTAGCTCTTTTAAGGTTCAAAAAAGCCTTAGTGATGATTACTGATCTTTTAAAATAAGATTTGTATCGGTCTAAAGTTATCGGCCAATGAAGGGCCGATACGCCGATACACCGATATACCTGAAAAACGCCGATACGCCGATATACCGATATGCCATATCGGTATCGGTCGATCCCTGCTATTTGGTACCCAACACCTTAACCAAATTGGCAGATTCACTGTTGTTAATTTCTAGTATCATTTTGTAGACAAAATCTTATTATAGACCTCTCATGGAATCTATTTGTTTAGGAGATGCAAGCGGAAGAATCCACATGGACTAACTTTGATAAAGATGAGGCCTTAATCAAAGATAGGCTGACAACCGAAATAATGGAAATACTGCTTAAAGAGGCTGCTATGGTGATAGAAAACGCATTCCAGAAGAAAATCGGATCGAATATATAAGCAATTTATTAAATTTTAAGAACAGAATGGTATTTTTGTAAGTTATTTATCGGTTATCTTTTGAGTAGCAAATTGTTTAGAAAAAATACATATTTTGTTTCCATGAAACCAATGTGATAGGTATATGTAAAAAAAAATCATCATTGTTGATTACTTAAGTATTTTAATCTTAAAGATTATTATTTTAGAAAGTAAGAAGGATGTAAGTATATTTTTTAATTTTCCAAAAATTATTTAGTTAGAGTTATATTAGTACTTTTGAGAATTGTGTATTTTTTTATTTTTGTATTTTTCACTTTAATAAAATAAGTTTATCATTTTAATCGAAGAGTATTTTCACTTCAGGTCCCAGGATTATGAGACAAACAAATATCATTACTGTTATTAAAGTAGGGTTCTCAGAGTTGATGATTGACGCCAGAGAGTGACAGCTTGGTATCCTTTTTTTTTGTATAACTTTAGTGAAATAAAAGTGTCTAGAAATTAGAAAAATATAATTTTAATTTAAATTTGATTACCATTGGCAGATGATTGCGCATTTTTATATTGATAACATAAAGTATGTTTTTTTTTAAAGATAATTCCCCAAGTCAAAAATTTAGTAACTATTAAAAAAAAACAGATTTTATTTCAATAGACCTATCTATTTTTACCTGGTATGCGCGCACAACACGAGGCTATGCCTTCTTATTGGCTAACTAATACAGGTGTGGGGTGTTCGTTTGGCATCCTGCGCATTTTCTTGTCCGTGTTCATTGCCCGTGGTCTGACAAGAATAAAAGTACGGTTGATATTCAACTTGACATAGCTTGACAAGTGACATTCAATAGTTGTTTGAAATTTTTATTGACAAATATGTTGCACAACACGCGGTCTTTCTCCTTCCCTTTTTATCCTGTACAAATAAGAAGGACAGATTGCTAGGTATACGAGGTGAAAAAAAACTTTAAATATGAAAGTTGTAGGGTTTTATATCTATTATCTTTTGCGAATGTCAAAACGGGCGAATGACAGGTGCCAACTGTCACAATGACAAACATTTGCATTTTTCAAATGGAACACCCTGTATATTTTTGGCTAAAATGATAGCTTTTTTTTTTCGGATTCCAAATATTCCATATATGTTAATATTTGGTTCAGTTGTTTTTGCGCTATTTAATTTTAAAAATGCATTGAGAAAAAAATATATCGTTCTAGCCAAAAATATACAGGGTGTTCCATTTGAAAAATACAAGTGTTTGTCATTGTGACAGTTGGCACCTGTCATTTGCCCATTTTGACATTCGTAAAAGATAATAGATATAAAACCCTACAACTTTCATATTTAAAGTTTCTTTCCACTTCCTATAGCTAAAGCTGTAGGTAGGGGTCAAAATATAAGGAAACACCCTGTACGTTTTGCCTCCTCTCAGGGACGGAGCCTTGGGGGGGGCGACGCCCCCCCAAAGTTTCTAAAATACATCGAAAGTTGGGAAAACTTGACATAAAAAATTTAAAGTTTGGAAAAATTGATAGATAAAAATAATAAAAATTTGTGCACCTTATTTGCGAGGACTAATTAAAGTTAACATTAGGATCGTGTCGCGTGTCGAATTCAATTCCAAAATCACCGGACTAATAGGATATGGACGCGGCGATCTCTTGCGTTGCACTTGTTTGCATTAGCGCCACTAGCGTGTGGAAATTGGCAATAATGGTAGTGGCACTAGCACTATTCAAGACCAACGTAATTATATTGCTTATTGTTGCATGCGCATGAGAGAGATGGACAATATAAGATATCCAAACCAGAGTACTCCGCTCCAAACTCCTACGTTTCCTTCTGCCGTTCTGTCTGCGTTCTGCGCATTTTTCGCTTGATATTTAAATTTCAGCAAAAGTCCTGTGCGTTGAATACCAATTTGCATATTTTCTTGGATTTTCCGCTCTTCTGAATTTGTGATAGGTGATAGCAAATAGCATTGCATATTTTATTTTTGATATACCTAAATTTTTAATTAATAAAAATATAAACATGAACAAAAAAGGTAAAAGTGGCCATTTTCAAGTGAAATGTTTAGCGTGTGGCTCCGAATTTAACAGAGGCTGTAAGACCAGGCACGAAAGAAAGAGACATGATGAAAAAATTGTGCAAATAAAAATGGTTGGAGCACCAGAAAATCCATTTGTTCTAGCTGCTTCAGCAAAACGGCAAAAAACAGAAACTTTGCCCTCGACATCGTTTGCTAAAGGTAGATATGTACATCGGGTATGTAATTTAATTCGCAAAAGGGTGATTTTCAATTGTTATCTTAAAAAATGTTGAGCGTAATTTTAATGATAAAATTCCTCAGACTGCAATAATTTTGCAGAATATTTAGCAGAAGGAACGTCAGGAATGATGAATATTGCTAAAAATAATTCAGGAACTGTGCAAGAATCTGATATTGTAATCAATGAATTACCTGCTGAGGCTTTAGCAGGCGGGTATACCAAGATAAATATATTAGTTTAACAAAAGAAATATGTTTTTATAATTTTTGAGTTGGGACCTCCATTAGAAAATGTGTGACATTGAATATACTGTTCTTTTAGATCCTGGAGAAGGTGAAGGTGAAGCCAATGTAGAGGCTTGTGTAGAGGTGATTGAGAAAGAAAAAACTGATGACTTGGGTATCTTATCACAAATACGGAGTGACTGTGATGGTAATTACGAACTTAATTAAATTTTAATCCTGTCAAAAAATGTTAAGTTGAATATTATTCTTTTTCAAAATACCTTTTACATTTTAGATGTTGGCAATAGTGAAACTCAAACAAAAACAACATCTACGGAATTAATTGAAGTGAGTGAAGAAAGTGACTTATCCAAAATCTGTTTTAATAAAGTTGGGAAATTTAGGAATGTTACCACCCCCCCCCCCCCCTAAACCAGAGGCCTTCGCTACGTCCCTGCCTCCTCTTGCGCAATGGGAGTTCTGTGTCTTTTTTTTTCTAATGAAGTTTTGGTATTATTACCTCTTTGTCTGGTAAAATAGATAGGTTTATTAAAGTCATGTTACATTTTTATTACTTGATATTCGACTTGACTTCGTTAAATAATTGATAATTCTCTTCTTCAAATGGTTCACATATTTCTTGAATGTCATCAATATGAGAATCTGATGTGAGGATTTTGTCTTTTAAAATTATAAACATCAAGTGGTATTTTACCATTTTTAATTGTATTAACAGTTGATGGAATATGATAATTTTCATCTTCTACAAGGTCAGTTATTATTTTAGTTCCGTCAGGAATTCTCGTGAGAAATTCACATTTTTGAACTGACGCTTGCAACTAAGCTGGTGAAATTTGATTCTTCAAATAAATTATATTATAATAGTTTGGTTTTCTGGGAAATTTAACGGTTTCATTTTTTTATTGTATTGACCTATCTTTTTTTACCTTCACTGCGCGCGCCACTCGTGGGTTGCAGGTGAGCGTCCAATGAGAAGTGAGTTTGGGTTAGTTACGGGCTTGCGTTGTATTCTTATTCAGAGACAAGAGCTTGGTGGTAGCCCCGAAACAATTTATATGCGACGTTGCAATTTCTGGCATTTTCATGTTTGGACTGGAATCAGCCACGCCACACCCCAGTTGTTTATTATTATTATCCCAACCTTTTGAGTTTTGGAGTGGACAGAGAATATAATAACTTTTTATAATTTGATTATACTGCTTATGATTGAATAAATTGAAAACTGAATAAAATTGAAACTACAAATTTTGTATTTTGAAGCACTGTTTTTGGATTGGAGTGGATCTGGAAACTCGTTTGTTCTCCTTCAGGGTCCAGGGCGGAAAATTTTTCCATATCAAATTCGGAAAAAAATAGTTATTTTTCTAACAAGTGCGGGAAATACCATTTCTCGCAAGTGTTAAGCCTAGTACTTATAATAGCGAAATTAGCTCTTTTTTGACATTCCTTGGATAATTTGACGTTTCATGCGTGCATCCTAATAAATGATGCAATAGACCTATCTATTTTTACCTGGTATGCGCGCGCAACACGAGGCAATGTCTTTTTATTGGCTAGCTAATACAGGTGTGAGGTGATCGTTTTGCACGCTGGGCACCTCTTTATCCTTGTTCATTGCACGTGGTCTGACAAGAATAAATCTAAAGTTGATATTCAACTTGACAAGTGTCATTCAAAAGTTGTTTGACATTTTCATTGACAAATACGTTGCACAACACGCGGTTTTTCTCCTTTCCTTTTTATCCTGTGCAAATAAGAAGGACGGATTGCTTTCGTATTACTACCTCTTTGTCTGGTAAAATAGATAGGTCTATTAGGAAGAAAATATAATATCTATGGTGTCCAAAATCTTCAATTGAAAATACCAAATAATTTATGCGCGATCTAAAACTTGTTTCTATGGGTCGTGACGTCACAAGGCAGTAATAATTGGGTCACGCCGCTGCCACGCGATGTGCTGCTGGGTGTCGCCAATGTCAAACCTATTGTAAACAGTGTTGGAAACATGTTCCAACAATCATGCTATCTCTTTTTGATGGCAAAATATTTTTATACATATAAAGTTTGCAACACTGCAGCGTTGTCGTCATGTCTATTTTGTCATGTCTGTCAATATATTGCGCGCCATTTTTGTCATTGCAGCAGTGTAGCTTGGAGCTTGTCCACGTTAACAAGCATCCAGAAACCTTTTCACATTTTAATAAATTTTATAATCTAGCTCTGCCCTGTTGGGCATCTAAGCAAGCTCTGGCTTCTTGTCATCTTGTAGTAGTAATTGTAAATAGTGTAAATATTGTGTAAATTGTTGTAAATATAGTGTCAGTGAAAAGCGCGTGTGTTTTAGTTCCCTATCCAGTCGATCATCCAGTCCACCTAATTATACAGTCCACTAATTATCAAGTTATTTATCTTCCATTATGTGGTTTTGCACATAATTTTGGCCAGTTCGAGCCGGATACTGGATAGTTCGGAACCTAAAAGTGCTTTAAAAACCCTCAAAAAGTGCCTTTTTAGTGGTTATTGATTGTTCCATCGTGATTTTTGGCGCCATGTGATGCAAAAAATCAATCATCCACTGTGCAGTCTGCACGTGTCTCAAACAACGTTGGGTTCCACGTGCCACCAGCGAAGGTTTCCGCCGGAACCGGAAGTGCGTAAGTAGAGTGGGGCGGAGCAAACAAACTTCACTTGTCAAATTCAAAAGGGTGCTTCTTTTTCTCGTCTGGTTCAACCCAAGTCACCCCGGGTGCAGTATCCTTGCTTGGTGCAATGAAGTACAGCCCCGGAGCAACGAACATGAAAGTGAGAGTTCACCACCCCGACAGCTTAACCTCAAATTAAATGTCAAACATTTGTTTACGTTTTGTTGTTTGTTGTTTGAGTATTTTGGATTTTTGCAGTGAATTTGAGTGAATTTGC